GTCAACATCAAAACAAATAATAAAATTCGTGTAACCTTATATGATCTTGTAAGTCAATTCCAATGTCCAGTGACTGAATATGGAAAGATTCACATTCCTGATTCAGCTAAATATTTTCTGTAACACACACGCGTTGTATTAGACATCTCGAAAATTCTTGGTATAGAGAATGTCCCCTTCAACAGGCAAATTACGAATTAAAAATGATTTATTTATCTGTTCTTTCTTGCAACCCAGTTTAAAGACTGCATGTCATCAATTTCTGCATTCTAAGTGTTATTCTGCTTAATGTACATCGACCAATCATAATTTGCCCGAGATAGTAACAGTTATTTTATTTTGATGAGTGGTTCCCAAAATATCACGCTTTGGAGCTACATTCTAAGCTGGATTATATAAAGTGTCAGATGGTAGCGCTAAGAAAGAAGAAAAAGAACCATCCATCCATAAATGTACTTTTGACAAGTCTGACCTCCAGCGCAATTTCACGCTTTGACGATTTAATTTCTGTCTCTAGTAGAACACGAAACTCCTCACGATGTGACGCTTGGATATAGCTGGAATTGTCATATTAGCAAAGCTTGTTAGAATGAATAAAAATAATGGTAAAATATATCAAGTAAATTCAATTAATAAATTACACTTGTCATGTTCATATTGTTGAAACGGATAACTTAGGCTTCTATCACTTTTCTCATTATCATGCTTGACTATTACCCTGCGCTATTAATGTCTGATATTAAATCAAGAAATCGGCCAGAATCGTAACAATGCAGTTATGCTATCGTCTTACTTTCATCCTCATTATATCCTTCCAAGACCATGTCATTTATACCCAGTCCTTCATTCTGTTCCCAAGTGCGCTCATACAATTCAATCTCCATGTTAGGATCGGAATCTAATAGTAATCAACAAAGCATGAGACAAGGTAAACGATAAAAAAGTCTAAATTTACATGGATAAAACTTGACCAACGTATACTCACCAGGTGCATATGGATTTTGTAGATAAGAATTAGCCATTGGGTCATCTAATATCAAATGGAACGGTAATATCTCTCCTTTAATAATTCTATCCAATTTCGACAAGAACGTCTTAAACTTCTCTCTTCTGTCATCCGTTACAGAATCTCCCCTAGAAAAGGGAATTCGCGACTCCAACTCTTCATAGACTTGTCGTAATAAGCCTTCAACTGTAGTAAATCTACCACCAAGTGTCCCGGACAACAAGTCGAGTTTTACTTCAGGGATAGACAGTCCGCACGTCTCTGCCTTGAGAATGTCGCGTGACATATCTTCGAGGTCCTCGACTTTGAGCTTTATACGTTTACCCTTTGGCGAAATTGCACCGCCAGCCTTTACTTCGTTGGATTTGTAACCACAGGCCTGCATTAATAGTAGTAGTTGTTAGTCAAACAGTCGATGTCTGTAAGAACGCTGATGTGACATTTGATGGGTATGTCTTCTTTCATACTTACATCACATGTAGTAGACATAATAACGACTTCTTTAAAGTGAGGAATATTAAGCACTTGCATCCTTGTTTCACTTGGCACATTACATTCAGAACAATTGCCAGAAAACGTCATTAAATCGGGTATCACGTCATCGTCGTCGTCTTTACTGGCAGGCTAAATAACAAGTATCGTGAAAATTGAACGGGAGTTAGAAAACGCGAAAGGGGAGTTGAAGGCGTTCGGGGAGGGAAATGATGGGCAGTGGTTGACAGAGTTGAAGGAAAAGCTGCGGAAGAAGGAATATAAAGACGAAGCGGAGAAAGAGGTTGGCTTGTGGTGTCGGTGGTGATCTTACTATGAACTGTCTGGTCGCCAACCGACTTTTACCTCGGGGTTAGCCAGTCCAATGGCAATATTCATTTCGGGCGTTCGAGGGTAATGACGAATTTTTAACTTGGTATCCAAGTTGAGAACATCAAAGTTTTCGATATAGCTTTATTAAACAAATCGACAAGAATTTGTTTAATACGAGCCCGTGATAAAACGTAAACATTATTCTCTGCATATATTTTGTAAGCTCACCTATTACCAGATGGATCATCTATGCTGATCGTAAACTCTTCTGCACTCTCTTTGTAACCTTTCAATTTTTCAATAATGCCCTCGATCTTCTCATATGTTACTTTATCAATATGTCTCCTTACTGGCTGGTCAGATGAAAGATCGTCAATAATTGCAGAGATCAATCCTTCGACAGTAGTCAGAGTGCCGCGCCTGCTCGATGACGGTAGCTCAAGATCAAGCTCATGGAATTTGATAGAGGCATTTTCGGATTTGACTAATTGACGATTAAGATCTTCTTTCGTAGATATCTTGTACGTATATACGCAGCCTTTTTCAGCATATGAACCAGCAAATTGGACTTCATTGTTTGAAAAACCACAATGCTAGAAGCAAGATTGACATTAGCAAACATTGCGTCTGTGTGTAATTTGATACGTGACAAAAAGAAAAAGAAACTATGAACATACTTCACATTCGAAACTCGTGACTACTATGTCTCTCCAGTGAGGGATTCGGGTAAGCAATAATTTTGTAATACCCTATATAGCGAATCCCAGCAATATCAGTATAAGAATTTCTTTAAACTGCGCATTCCAATGAGAATGCAACTCACATTTTCCTCACAGTTGACACAATAACTTTCTATTTCTGTTGGCCTCGCATCATCATTCTCAAGCTCGACGATTTCCCCTATATCATGGAAAATTCTTTCCGTCTTTTGATGTGAGTCTGTTTCTGACATACTGTAGCGACGATGAGTATAAAATTTCAAACCAAAAATTTCGGGGTTTTAAGCTCTGTGGCGAAGAAATCGATACGGCAAGGTCACATGTTTAACAAACGTCCAATCAATTAAAAAGTAACTCAACAGTTTTGTTGCAAAAGACTCTCGTGCGAGACACACTATAGATCTGGGATACTTTTCCGTTGATCCAGAAAATTCCAGTGACAAATGCAGGAGCCAATAGTAGCACACAATAGCATCATAATAGTCACATAATAACGATTTCTTCTATATAAAGTGATTTATTTCTAAGAAGATTCGTAACAATGTATAGGATTTCCGTTTTGTCAAAAAGCATATTTACAGTTCACACACACAATACATAACGGGTTACAACGATGGTATTATTTGTTAAGGCTTGCATCTGACGAGTTAATCGCGTACTTCCAACTAAAAAAAAGCATCTATCCTCGAATCTGAACCCCCCCCTTTTCGACAACTCTTATTCCTTCAATACTTCAAAGGCGAGAGTAAGTACTTATACATATATATACAAACGAACATATCTCTCAATAATACTGTATATAAGTACATCATTTTGTAATACCATTAATTCATACTCCAGATCAGAATATTGTCATTAATGCAAAGCATACATACAAAAGCCCAACAGGATATGCTACCAACAAACGCTGTTCAGACATTTGAAGAACTGTCACAAACATCGTCGAAGAGGAATAAGTACACCATACAATGGCCGCTCCTGAGGCAAGTAATCCGAGTGGGCCGCTAACAACGAAAAGAGAATGTCAATAATCAATAATGAAAATATGTCAAGCATTACTTCCATCCTCTCCATTCGACTAGCTTACCTTAGAGGAACCATTACTCCGACGCAACTCAGCAATACCAACGGTAATAAACAATATCCTAGTACGCTCGCTGTCCTATATCCATCAACTCCTGATTCACTCATCAAATTGAGAATCATATAAATGGAAAACCACCCAAGAACTGCTACACCGTAGATATATCCAAAGTGAACTTTTCCTGTCTACACAGCAAAAAAGAACCAAACCCTTGATTGAATAAAGACGAGCAGTACTATATAGCTTCAATCATAATAAATTATGCTTACAAGGAGCAAAGACAATCCAAATATGAGACAGAAAAGAAGAGGCCCAGCCAAGTCTGTGTCATCCATTATATTCTTATCAACCGTTCGAAGCGGATTCAAGGCCGCAAGACTCTATTAATATCATCGTAAAAAGGCATCATGCCAATTAGCCTAAATTAGAACAAAGCTGTCGACCACATTCTCGATAGAATTAAGACTATGTACCTTCATTTTTATGTGAACAAAATTAATACCCAATTCTAGTTAAATCAAACGACAGACATGTCAATAAGTCAGTAGTCGGACCCCATTTTTTTGTATAAATCCGCGAAATGTCTCTCACCTTCCAACAAGGGCGGCTCGTCGGCAAATCCACCAGTTCCAAATGCACTCCAAAAACTACCGGTGCTTCCTCCCTGATGATACCCTGGTGTGTAAACGTTAGCGTCGTTCTGTGAGTAGTAGCTTCCAACATTTGCAGCATACGCGTTAGGATCACTGTAGGTGTTTGTGTAGAATTGTAGATTGTCGGGTGCCGCATACTCGAAAAACTCGGGATTATCAAAGATCACTGGCTGGGCCTGATTCGTCATTGGTGAAAATGTTATCTATGAGACGTTGAGAAGTGTGGTATACCGTATAAAGGTGAAAAGAGGATATACAGTATGTACGGTACGTCGCATAGCGAGTGGGTTAACCTTGTACACGTGGCGATGATAACTTGGACAAGCATGTAATCACGTGAATATAGCAAATTTTGAAGCGTTTGCGTTTTGGGAAGAGAGAAACTTTTGTTCTAGCAAATAAAAGATGTCAGCTTTTGTATGTTTGTCAAACACGATTCGTATTTCATTCTAGTATCATCACAAGCCTAATGGTATTCTCCCACATTCTAGTCCGAGTGGCAAGAGGCAATACCGTATGATGCGCCTGTCGCACGATCACTCTTCCCTACATTCGCTCTAATGCTTTTCATAGCCGGGTTTATAACAACGAGTTCGTTCTCTGTGTATCCTTTTGATGAGTTCAATGAAATGTTTCCTCTTTATTTCGTTCCCGACTTTGGTTCCTTGACAAGTGATTCGACTGACAGCATCCCGGCGCGAACTTCAATAGCAAAAGAACTTGGTCTTGCTATTCCAGCATCGGTACTGTTGGGATTTGGGACGTTGTTCCTATTCTTGAGCGTTGGTATATACGTATAGTAATTTAATTGTTGTTCCAAAGCATAAGCAAAAGGTGGGGTTACATTGAATTAAATGAAAGACCAATCAACCAGTGATGAATACAATTACAATAATTTATTCTTCCATATTATACGAGTCTTGTTCATGTCTTAATACAAATTACCCAATCTTAACATGCTGTTTATCAATCAAAAAAGATATTACAGATTATTATAAAGTCTTTCGATTCTTCTATGAAATATATATGCGTTCAAATCGCAAGTCCAGCTTTTACACTGGTCATATAGTCCCATAACATTTCCCTCCAATGTCTTGAGGATGACAAACCACGCGTGGACCTAGCAACGCATCGGTTTCCAAATGCTCAAAATCATCAGACGCACTTTCAGACTGAATATCACAATCATATTCTGCCTCCTCATCGGATCTATCATATAGTCAATCGAGATGCTTCTCTTTAGCACCTTGCGACCACCACAGAAAGAGTTCATCTCCATCTAGTAGATAAATGGCTCCTCTGATAATAGCCAAAACACCAGCCATAAATCCTAGCATAGACCACCAAACGCCAACTTCTTTAAAGACTATCATTCCGCTAATTGCAACAAACGTAACATGAGAAGCGTAAAACATTGGTTGGAATTGAGTAACCTTGTATTTGCTTAGTGCGATCTGTTTACAGATCTCCTGTCCGGATATGCCAACAGTGAGTGCAACAGCGAGGGCAGTCATCAGCAATGCAACCATTGGTATGCTGACAGCTTCCCCGTCACTGAATACGTCAATTAACCCACCTTCTTCTTTTCTCGCATCCATCATCCAAAGTCTCAACAACACAGCCAAAAACTTTGACGCTACAACGGTCACAGCTCCAAATCCTGCTGTAATAATTACGTATAAAACTAACGACGATTGTTCCTTATTTCTAGTGCGTACCGTAGCAATCAGTGAACATTCTGCAAGGACAATTACACATAACCAGACAATTACTCGAGGTTGAGTGATGTAGGAAACAAGCCGTGCACCAGTCAATAGATCGTTCTCGATATCCTTTGTGGTCGTTGCCGAGAACAAAATAGTAGTCAGTACGCCGAGTAAGATCCAAACATAACCTAGCCGTTGTTTGGATGAAATATGCTCGTTGAGGAAGCAACTAGCTAGAACAGCGTTGATAATCACAGCCAGGATTCCGAGTGGAGTAACGACTGATGCGGGAATGAGAGACAGGGCAATCCAGTTTCCGCATAGTTCACCAAGGTATACGAGGGTTATTCCAGTTAACCATACCTTGTCATTTATACGAGAGTATGTGTACGGTTTCGATCGAGACATTGAACGGGGTGTTGGTGGTGGGGATGCATCCGAATCGCTGCTATAATTGGGGTTTGAGGCAGACTGGTTTAGCGCTTCACCGTGTGTCAAAGCATATTTCTGCAAGCAATTGCCTACGCCTATCACTGTATTTCCAGCCAGTGCGGCAGTTAGGCCCACAACGAAAGACATGTTTCCGATGGCTTAGAAGGAATAAATGTTATGGGAAAAGAAAGAGAAGGGAAATGAAGAATTGGTAGTGAAAAGGGGAGCAAACGTAAGGAATGTGGAGAGGCCGAAAGGGAGTGAGTGGATATGAATGTTTAGGAAAACGGCCTGGTCTGGGTAAATAACAATGAATGTATATAGTTGAAACTTGGGAATGTTCGCTATGAAAAATTCCGAGTTTCGGGTACCTCAGCATGCCGTTTTTGGTAATATGCATTTAACAAACAATTACGGAGATCAACAATTGTCAGGGGGGGTAACATATTTCTGTATTAGTATTGTATTTTGCTGACTGTCTAATTGTTGCTAGCGAAAACTGACATTTGTCGCTTGACCACAACTGTGTCCACATTATCATTGAGCTGCCCCCTGATTCTATCGGGCTTATTGTTTAAGATGCTCTTTTTCCCGGTTCAAGAAGATATGCCATAGCAGATAGTATCCCATATGTTTCTGATGAGAATCTGGAAGCCCACAAGGGAGTAAATACTGTCCTATTTATTAAACCAGCAAAATTGACAAATAAAATTGACTGAATAGTTTACCTTCTTAATAACAACCACATGAGTTTGAGGACTGATCCATTGGCAAAGACACATCATCACTTTCGTTGCTAGCCTGGGCCGCTGGTCCCATTCAATTTTCCGACGTTTGGGTTTTGAAACTTCGACTACTCGGTCTGGAAGCATGTGTCGTGCATATCGAACCTTGGGAATTAACTGCCTTTCCACGGAGTGTGGCTGCTCCTACTTGCTCAGTTAAAGTTAGTTAGTGGCCTAAACGTAGGCTTTATCTATCTACGATTCGTATTATAGATGCTAATCCTCGATAAATGATTAGTTTGATGGCCTATAATTCTGGGATGTTGGTATAATTCTCAATGCATTGCTACTGAACGAATATTTATCGTAATTGCCATGAGAGTATAAGCGGGACAAGAGGCGAATACTCCTAACCATATAGCTATATCGTAATTTACCAGAGAACGAATCATTAAACTGTATTTCAGAGTATAATAATAATAATAATAATAATAATAATAATAAAGAACTACTCGTTTATTATAAGAAAGAAATATAAGAACATGATTGCAATGTCCATCTTGACTTTGAAGTTAAAAACAGCAACATTGCTACTTAAGCGAATGGCGTATTCCTTAACTTCGCCAAGGGTCGTGTTTACATCAAAAATTACGTTCCGAAAAAAATTTTCAATATTCAGATTGCAACACTTGTAACAAAATTCCTTGTACATCAAATATGGCATCACAAGTAAACACGTCAAATACCATATTTCCGCATACGCTCGTACTTGGTTACGAGCCATTGAAAGCATAAAGTCAGCTGCGCAAACGTTTCATAACATGAAACCGTGAAAGCCACTCAATACGGTTCGGGAAATGGCTCTGGTACAAAATTACTGCAATCGTTCGCCACAGAAAGTCATTGTAGAAATTGGATGTATACGACGACAAATTATGTATAGAGTTATATAACTTTGAATACATATAGAATACAACTCCACAGCTTGCGCACTCCCCCGTTATCGTCCGCATCTAAAAAGAGAGCCTATTATACAGCTCATTGAACGAATTTACCAATGCAAACAAGCAGTCTTGAAGGTCCAAGACTATCGATAGTGACAAGAAATGAGACAAAAAATTTTTCTATTACCTTGACCCTGCCAAAAAAAGCATACTCAAACAAACAGATCCTCAACAAACCGAACCATCTCGTCAACCATAGAAAAAAGCAACTACAAATATCCAAAAAAAAAATCTGACATTGTGTTAAAACACTAGAATAAATCTGAATGTATAATTAGTTTAAAACTTGAATGTCTATGGCTTTATATCTTTTTTTATTGTACAATAATATTTATCAAACACAGTTCTCTGATAATATAATCACGAGGACGCAGCCTCCAAAAATTTAAAACGTCTTAGCACGCACGTGTATACCAGCCGAGTTATTCAAAAAACGTTTCCGTCATGTACTGTACACTAACCGTTTGAGAAAAGCGCGCGAATACACTTTCAAAATGAATCACCCATAAAACCACCGCACTTGAAGTGAATCTTAGTTTCTAATGAAAATATTACCGAAGTAGACGTTCACATTGAAATAACGAAAAAGTTGTTATCACGGAACAATCAAATAACAAGGAAAAACAGTAACCAGAAATAATACGAATAAAAAACAGAAAACAAAATAAGTAAATTTTATTACCCGCTTTACTTGTAGTAGTCCTACTATTGTATTACCGCCCCACCAAAAGCGTTGCCTGTACGTCAATTGCGGTCACTATCCAATGTGACATCTATGAGTGTAGTCGATGCAAGAAAGTGTGCGTGTCCCTTCAACAGCTTGCAATAATACAGCCATATCCCAATTAATAGAGCCTATTGTGATGTTTCTTAATCCGCGTTGTGACTCAATGACTTTTTGTAAACTTGATTTTCAGTTTTGATAAATTGTAATTAGATCTGCCATCAACTGAGAGTGATTCAATATTATGCGCTACCTTTGCAAGCGAATCAAAGACCTTCGTGAATGATCTGTTCTATGCCAGTGCTGAAGAAAATAATTGCTTTCAAATACAATCTTAAATACAAAAAAATTTAAATGTCAAGAACAATTGTCGCAAGTGATGGTACAAATGGAATAAAATCAATTGTTTTGAAAACATACGTTCTGCGGTAAAATGACGTATATTTTATTTGATGGTATAGCTACAATAGAAATCGAAAGTAAATGCAAGATAAAATTTATTGGCGTCGTTTTTATCTGCCATTGTTAGGAGAAAATTGAAAGCTGGCAGGGTAATTTTAATCAGGTAAGGTATAGCGTACAATGCAAGTAACTGCTGTGGAGAACTGCGGACGTCCAACATTGTCCACGCATTGCGAATAAAATAAGTTTTGTATTAATAAGAAATAGATGTTGTATGAGGACTATAATACAACATTAGCGTTATATCGGAAAGGTTCTGTGGATTTTAAAATATCCATAATAATTTCAGAATGGCTTGTGTGTGGTTTAACTAAAATCGGTCAATAATAATAATAAATTAATGGGTAGACAGGTGCAATGTAAATGTAATTGGAAATTTACTGTATTGTCGGTACGTTGTAAAGGTAGCTGCTAAGCCAACCGTCATGTTAAACTTGCGTGCGTGCTATATACATTGTGATATCTGCTATTTCGTTTATTCGCTGACAGATTATGTACATACAGTATGTCATTTTAAAGTGAATCTAAGAGGATCAAGTCTAATAGCCGCAATAGGCCTATCTGACTAAGATGAAGAACAGCCAATATTACTTAACTACCAACATTTTAAAATATTGTCATGGAATACTCCTTTCTTTCGCAAGATCTTCCGAACAAAAAACACTTAGCAACTTTACATTTAAAATATGGAGTTGTTTAGAGTAATCGAAAACAAGATCACCGAACCCGTGAAGAATAATAGAATTTGCTATTACTATTGTTGGTAAATGCAGTAAATCTATTGGTTAAATCTTACTGCGTTGGATACGCGCAAAAGGCCCCCGACATCTCGTTTGAAACATGTTGCCTCGCACTTCTTCCTGTGTGATGCCGATATGATTCTCTGAAATAGCAGAGTAAGTCGTATGTCTAGGTTTTGTATGGCTTCGCTCTACGTTGGTTGGCTTGGTCATGGAAGCGTCGTATTTTGTACTGCACGGTGACATGAAGAATTGTCCCGAACGGTGGAGATTAATTTAAAATTCGGTATGGGTACTCGGCGGGTTTGATATCATCTCGGCTCTAAGAGTTGAAAACGAAAAGCGAGACGCATTGCATGTTGAGTGAGAAAGAGTATCGGAATGAAACGTACAGCCTTGAGTTCTTAATGTCTGCTGCAACGGCCTCTGTCACTTTTTTGCGTTTGAACAACAACACGAATTCTTTTGACCATCGAAACTTTGACTTCCGAAAAAACAGCGGTAATAGTGACTGCATGGAGTAATTAACGAGATACCCACCATATTGATATGTGCGACAAACATTACACATATATATCGTCAGTTGACAAGTTCACGATGAAAGATTTGATTCATTATCAGAAATACAATGTATAATCATATTGCATAACAGCACGTTTTTATAGATATACAGATTGTCATAACATTTTACTTTGCATAATTACATTCTAATAGTAAAGCTCGTTTATACAGAGAACCAACGATTATTTGCTCATGGCATATAAAAAGCAATAGGCTCAATTAATTCGCTGCGATTTATTAAGCGTTTTCGTTTTAAAAAATTCATTAGTTAACGATGAAGTATTGAATCACAATATACTCCATATTAATTACGTGATCAATTCCAAGTCACAAAGCGTTTCAGCTGAAGCCTCCACAATAACTAAACATCCTGTGACCGATCCATGGCCCGAGCATATAACCAAAAACTTAAGATATCAAACTTTCGAATATAACATGGCACACAAGCCAATTTCCTTTGTTTAGTTTGAGGGAAAATGGTAGTGGAGCCTTTTCCGGGAAAAAATAAAAGTAGATAAACGACAACGCATAATATTATATATATAGCTTTGTGAGGACTATGCTGCGTAACTCCGACGCGACGGTAGCATTGGAGAATATTCGATCGATGTGTCATACGGCGTCAAAAAAGCGACACACCATCAGATTCCATATTACTCAATACGCACTCATACAAGCTACGCATCGCGGCGATTTTACAGTCATAACCGCCATGCGACATGCCAATAAACGTTGCAGTAGATAAACTTGCTAAAATAGTAAGTTCGGAAGATATATACGAGCAGCGTAGATTCAGCTAGATTCTGTGCTTAATTACTTTCGATTCCTCTATTGTTATTTATACTCTGAAATACTGTAATTCGTTTCCTGGTAAATAGTTGTGAAATCTATATCAATTAGGAATATTCGCTTCTTGTCCCGTGCATCCTCG